CGGCAAGCACAGTCAAGAACGCACCGACGGCAACACAAGGCAGCCCGCGAGGTGAAATGAGCGACTGTTCAAATTACCAGCCAGTCAGCCGTGAGCGAACGATGTCGCTTTGGCGTCTGAGGTTGATCTAACCTGTATCATTACAGCGATACTGCGGGTATCATCATAAGCATTCTCGTGACACTAGAAAACCTGAACCAACAACATAGCTACGCGAGCACCTGCGCGACCTTAAACAAACAAAAAAAAAACAATCACAAGACCAAAAAAAACAAGGAATGACGAGCCGACGGAACAAGGGAAAACAACCGTGTAGCCGAGCATGGCAGGAACCCAATCACTTCACAGCTTTGCTGCGACCGCCGTGAGCGGTTTCGTGACAGTACAGAGGCAACCGTGCACTTCGCCTTTGACCTTCAGTGACCGATCAGGTGGCCGGCGTGCCGGCTGGGATCAGCGCCACCGCCTGTGCCACACGGCGACCGGCCGTCCCCTCCTTGACGTGAAAGGACGCTTCGCAGCGGCACCCGCGGCGTCCCCCACCCGTCCGACGCGGAGCCGGCCATCGGACATGACGCCGCAGTAGACATCAGAGCAGGCCCTTAACATGCACCATCTCGTATTTTGTGCCGAAGGCCTTCACCAGGTTCGGTTACTGTAACCATTTATGATGGCGGTGATCAGCGAGTGCGTTCCGACTCTACAACATCAGGTATGCGATGACTGTCGGCCGAAGCAATCTAATTATATGAGTATCTGTTCCACTAGTGAGCCTAGCCATTCACAGCAGCCCTCCCCAGTAACAACAACAAGCAGACACAAATGCTGTTACGGATGAAATCATTGTTCGGACTACCGTACTTGTTTGGTGTGTAAGCAACGCTTCAGGCGGTTAGCAGGCCGTCGTCAGGTGCTGTTGTGTTCCGAGACGCACTGAATGATGTTTGGCTTTCAGTCGTGCATGCGTCACAACCCTAATGCTCCTATTGGATTTGCGGGATTTGCGGGACCCGTCTTCTGTTCGCGAGTCTGGTGCTCTACCAATGAACTAACCGGGAAGGATTCCCGTTCGGAGTTGGAACTTGGTGCCACTAACCTCCTGGGTATTTGGGGATTTTTTCGCAGCATTGGGAGCCAGATTGGCCTGTTCTCCAAGCCCGGCCTATTTAGACTTGGGTGTAGATCGAATAATCTGTTCTTATTTCAAGGTTTGAGAATGCCTGTCCAGGAATGGTCCAGCAGTAGGCCGTGGAGTCGCGACTGACTCCGCCTCCAACTGCAAGGAATCTACGCCCCTGGTGACACCGGGCTTTCAACGTTCCTGGCGACATCGAGCCTGCACTCCTGGTGACAGCGGGCTTTGAACAGTCCTGGTGACGATGAACCTACGCCCCTGGCCACACCGACCTTATGGCTCCGGTTACACCGAACCTAGGCCCCTGCTGACACAGAACCTGTAGCCCTGGTGACTCCGGTCCTACGTCCCTCGTGACACCAAGCTTTCAAAACAAGCAGAACGTAAGCATAAGAAAGGCAACGATTTGTTCTTTATGGATGTACGTGACACCCCACACCCACAAAGTTTACAACACCTCAACGGCATTCGCTTATGCGCAAGTGCATCATGCAGCCGTTTTCGTGCAGGCGCCTGCAAGGGCGGAGATACCGTAGATGAGTTACGCGTTCAGCTATCTCACAATCATAGCGCAAGCGTTCGACATTGTACGGTGAAACGGGTGCTCCGGTGCTCAATGCAACCCTCCCGCCAGGCATTACTTTTTACATGCTTTCGGGGCATACACTTTTAATATATTTTCCGTGATTTTATATTTCATGTACCCGCTCCCCCCGCCTGATGCTGAATTGACCCTCTCCCCGTGATCTTCTGAGCCCCTCACTGCATATGAGTAAAAAGGGAAAGTGGACCAAAGAAATGCAGATGTGTTATCTGTAGTAATGGTACGCTATGTACCTAAACACACGATAATAAACCTCACGCTCATTTTGAGTCAAATAGTGCCCTGTGGGTACATAATGTTTTTGACATGTCAACTCCTCCATGTTTTAGACTAGTCTGCAAGCTTTTCACGTGATAGACAAGCTTTTCACGTGATAGCGTCTGGCTGGGAATGAAGAACAATTGACTGCAATATACGCCAGATTTCAAAAATATGGAGTGGACCAGATACAAAATTAGCCCATGTTTGTCTTACCAGTGGCAAGCGTATGTGTCGCACGATCGTGACTAAGGTAATATTCGACTGCCAATGGAATAGCAAAGCGCAATCCTCGCCGGCGGTAGTGAGCAGTAGCTCCCCGCCCGTGATATCACAACATAAGGCGCTCTATATTGCCCCTGGCAGTCCATAGTGCGCACCAGCTGAATCTGCTGCGGGTAGTCGATGGTCCGGGCGGTTGACCACGGTGGTGGGCCCCAGTCTGGAGTCCGAGTCTAAGTCTGAAGAAGACAAAGTCTGAAGGTGGTCTCGAGCTTTTGAAGGTTCGCTGACTTGTCCACGTCGGACATGGGCGTTGAGGTCAACCCACAGCATGAGCCCCAGGGACGACAGAGTGTGAAGCCCCGGCGCGACAATCTTAACCTGATCTTTATTTCAACGAAATGATCCTCGAAACGATCCAGCGCCGCCCGTGTCGTGTGCGGTGTCACTCCGCCCTGCTGGTGGCTCCATCCTCCTCCATTCTTATCCTGATCGATCCCGTGAAGTCCCCTCCCCCACCCCACCTGTTGAGTTCAGCATAAATTTAACATATTATATATATATATATATGCATATTCACGTCATGGCGACATGCTTGAAAATTATTCATAGGCTATCGCACGTACGTGTTAGGTCAATCCGTCCTACTAAAGATGTCCTTTTGCGCCCTGGGGACCTACCATGAAGAATACCTTTTCCTGATAAGCGCAAGGATTCGAGTTACTCAGATGTTCTTGACAATGACTTATACCCCATTCCACAGTTTTCACAAAAACATAGCTTTGTATCGCCTTGAAGTGAGAGGCCATCCTTCCACAACAAAACCAGTTAAGAACAAACCTTTTTTATTGCAACATCGGAAACGTAAATCTAGGGTGGTTAAAATAACCGGGAAAAACGAAGTTTTCCCACATCTAAAAAAGCAATTCCTCCGCAGCAAAACTTCTTTGGAAGCGACAACATCGTTATCTTCTTAATTTAAACATCGGGAACGCAACTAAGTAGGGTGAAATCCCGCAAAAAAACAGGTTTTGGGGTACGTCGGCTCAAATTCAACTCCCTCCCCAACCGATCAGATCATGAAACTGGCATCTCTGCCTCCAGCTCTGAAAGTACTCCATTACTGTTAACGTAAAACAACACTGCCATCCGGCTCTAGATTGCCACAGACGACTTCAACATCGCTCCCCATCCCCTCGGAACACCCACGCCTGGTGCGGGCCGTCATTCAAACGTCGGTTCGCGGCGCCCTGCAGGGGTCAGCGGCCCGCTAGGCTGTATCGACCGGAGCGAGTCTGGATCGCCGCAGCGGGCCCGGGCCCGTCACGCTGGCCCGCCCCGCTGGCTGGGCTGAGGGAGCGCGGAGGCCGGGCCCTGCGCCGGCGGCCGTCCCAGCTGGACCGCTCCCGGCCACGTGGCTGCGCCGGCTGGGCGGCGGCCGCTGACTCGCCGCCGCCGCCGCCACGGTCGGTCGGCCAGCCCTGCCCACAATCGGCCCAGGTACGTCACCCGACCCGGACCATACCCGCGGTGCTGCGGCGAACCCCCTTCCCCTCCCGCTAAAAATAGCGCGAGGGGAGCGAACGGGGTGCGTGCGGCCAGCGTGCGGCCTGCTCTTGACGCAGGCTGAGACGCCCATAACCATGCAACAAGGTGAAGAGGTGTGGAGGGGGAGGGGGGCATCTCTTCCGTGGCGTTAGACTAGGCCAGGGACTGTCGCCTCTTACGACTGTTGGATCACAGTTTCGCATCGCACGCCGGACCTGCCAGGCGAGCTCGGTCAGCATATCTGGGGCAAGGCGCGCGTACCTCCAGCGGCAACTCACGATCGTCGTTACGGCCGTGGAAGGCTAGCATAGCCCTCGGCTCCAATCCAGGGTCGGTCGAAACACTGCGTAGTGATAGAAAATGGATCCTACGCCTCTCTCCTGCAACCTTCCCTTCCCTGTTCCACGCTATTCAACAATGACAATGCACGAAGAAAACGTCTGGAAAATACGGTTCTCCATCCCATATTTTTCTGACGTCCCTTGACTACGCGGCAGGCGTAGAGGTACGTAAAAGTTTTTTCTGAGGGAGGGAAAGCTTGCCATTGTAAGGAGAAGCGGATCAGAGAATGCTGTTGGGTTCCTCTCAAAAGCTTTTAGCCCCGAGGTTGGCGTCGCACTGAGGGTGCATTGCCCTAGCGGGCAAGCGAAACGAAGGGCCACCGATGCTCTTTGAGGCGCGTGTTGTTACAGCCCATACCTTTTAAGCAGCTAGGACTTCAAAGGGTTTGTGTTCCACATGACACGCGGTACAAGGCAGTGCCATGTCACACATGGCAGGCAGTACAAGGAAGTTCATGGCCATACAGGGCAAGAACAACTTCGCGAATACAAAATAACTAACCAAAATAACTGAGAGATATTCTACCAATTGTGAAGTGTGACGCCCTCCAAGAAGCGAGCACCACGGCCCACCTCGGCCCGGACAGACGCGTTTGGAGCAGGGCCACACCACAGCCGAGCCATCAACTTTCATCACGCCGCTCGCCGCCGGTTACAGCTGGCTGGAGAAAGTTCCCAGGACACCGCCGCCATACGCCTCCATCTGCGCCGAGGGATGATTCACCCGGCTGCAGTGCCGCGGTTTAACGATCAAAGACCAAATCCGCGTGGCTTATTCCGCCGAGACGACTCCAAACCGGCCTCTGTCTGGCAAGTCCGGCCATGTTTTCCAAACAATGGCCGCCTATTGACAGCAATAACTGGCTGTAACCCACATGGCAGCAGCACGTACCCATGCAGATGTCTCGCTTGGTCGGCCCATCGAAGAGCTGCTTGCGTCCCATGGCGACGTTCCGCGGCCCTTCAGCAGGACAGTGTATCCGCGTATCTCGACGAGGACCGGCAGCGCCCCTCACCACACCCGCGCGCCACTGGAAGACTGAGCGCGGCCGCTGGTCCCCGCCTGGACGCCGCGAACTGCAAGCGAGCGAGCGGCCGAGCGACGCGACCAACGAGCGGCCGCCGCCGTCGTGACGTCACCAGAGGGCCCGCGGTCAGTCTCGCGGCGCGGCCGCTCCGTCTCTGACGCCGGCCGGGGGGCGCTCGGTGCGCGTGACTGTGGTGGCGCGGCTGTGTCTGCAGCTGTGGGCCGACACCTGCCGGCGGTGGACGGCGATGGCACGAGGCGGAAGCCGAGCGCGCGCACGCACTTGAGCGGATTTCGCGATATCGCTGGCAGAAAGCAGAGCGATGGTGGTTTTTTATCAAGAGAACTTATTAGAGATGTCACTTTCTAAGGTCTGCTGAGATGCTGACCTGATAACGCTGACCCAATACAACCTCAAAACCCGAGACTTCCCGGAATTTGGCCACTTTTGCGCCATCGATGTCAAAAGTAAAGAAGTGTTCAATTAGTACGGCCTCAGAAAACATCAATGAAGGATAAGTCCATTTCAGAATTGTTTTGCTTCCTCTTTTTCGGAGTCGAATCTTGTGACAAGGTGAGAATGGAAGATAATTCACAGGAAAAAGCAAATTAACCGGTTACGGCCAATCAAAATGCTGCCGTTTTTATTTCATGGAACGTGGCCTGACGCTCAAAAAGATGGTTTGAGGCAGAGCGGTGTGGCCTGACACGTACAAACGGAGAGGTCATGAACATTGTTTTCGTGTACACTGCCAGAATGTACCTTCTCATGGAAATGACAGTGAACTTGCGTGATGTTAACGGACATGCTGATAACTGGGAAGACGGTACAGTCAAAGCCTGGTTACTGGACGGGCCACCAGGAGTCCGTGTTACCTTTTTGATAACACGGCCAACGCTCGGACGGACGTTGGAAATTATCGATTCAACGCTTGGAAGCTTTCCCCTCGGTAAGAATTATTCGCAAGAATCGATCAAATACTGTGCAATATTTGTTTTCCACTCAGGATCCTGGTCCGTATCGATGTTTCACTCAGGATTCGCATCGTACAAAATGTGCTGAGTCCATTTATCAACACCCTTCAAGTGGAAGATATGCCAAGATATAGATAAGGTACAAGACATACTTTAAGACAATGAACATAAACCACCGAAATATGCTTAAAATAATCCCGTCCCGAAGTGTAATTCACCGTCCCGTTAGCCCAGCTGGTTACACATCGCCTGTTTTCCGATCCATCCACGCGTGGCGGGTAGTCTCGAGCCGCTTTAGGTGTTCGCTACGCGTCCCTGATTGGGACGGCCTGCGGCCGGTGGCACGAGACGCGTTACTGGTCAGGTAGTCTCAGATACCTGGCTGAACCGTGCCGAGCACTGAGACACGCTATTCTTCCGCAGCAAAATTTTGCCGTTGACCCGGAATTTTACGATCGGATGATGGAGTCAGGACTCACTCAATATGCGCTGCTCAGCGTGGGTGCTCATCCTAGAAAAACATCCAATCAGAAGGCTGAGGCTGAATCTTAAAAGAGATCATCGCCAAGCAAAAACTCATTGCATCATAACCCATTGCAAAAGGCACAATCCACGACCACTAAAAAAACAATCGTTTTCTGACAAATATTAAGACGAGTGTCTGTGCATTCCCGAGCAAATGTGTTTCAGCATGTGCGTTGTGCATGTCTTCTGATGGCCAGTCATGCGAACGTAGCTGTGCAAAAATTCCTTCTTTTCCCTAAGAACGCCTACCCGGAACACTGACTAAGCTGTCCCGATTGTGCCGTAAGGTTTAACAATACAACAGCGTCATCTTCGTGAAGAAGTCGTAGAAAGGCTGAACAAACAGACTGTGTCTCTATCTGAAGCTACCGTCCATGCTGCGACCTTCAAGACCTGAAGGTCTCCTTCAGATATGAGATAGGACGCTTATTGTTGACATTATCAATAGCGCAATGAACCACCTGCAGCATGTTAAGCTGTTGTGCATCATGGACTGCCAGACGTTCATCTGGTGCATCTTTCGTAGCCACGATTTGGCTGATCTGAAATTTCTGTTGACTGCTTCTGTCGCTGCTCGTGTTTTGTCATTGAATTGGCGATTATATGCTAGGACAGAAACAATTGCCAGACAAATATACTTACCACTGTTGAGTAAAACGTTGAATAACTTTATTCTGAGACAACCTGTATTTCGAAACTTCGAAAGGCTGCCGCATATTGCGATCCATTTTTTCCGCTGCTCGATCTGTGCTATCCCTGAAAACCCTTCCAACTTATGCAGACTCGCCTAACAAATCAGGAAGTGGGTATAAAACCATTATGTGCCTGCAGGGTACCACTTGAAACAAAAGGAGCATGACTATTGTGGACTGTTTAGATAGCTATGGTACCAACGGTCCAGAGAAAGCGCCTGCATTTCATTGGCCCAGTTTTCCCTTGTTTGCTAATATCCTGCGGGGAGTTTATGGGAGCATTGGGGGGCTCAAGTCAGCATTGGGGGAAGGGGACGGACTCAGGGCCCACAAAGGTATATAAAGTGACGCACGTGGCCCACATGCTCATAACACGTAATGGTTGATGACCCTCATGTCATGAGAACTGTTGTTAATGTGCCAGCCACCGCCTGCCACCGCCGAACCGCGGGCCGCTGGCAGAGCCGTTCCAGGCCAGACCATTGTAACAATCCATACTCGCCACAGTTGGTGTCAGTGCGTACAACTGAATCGGCCAACAATTGCCGCTGGGCCGCTGACACCGGCCAGCGTGTGTACCCCGGGAAACCGAGGACAGGGCGCCATGCGCTCCGAGCAACACCGCGTTCCGATTATGATTAAAGAGAGTACTCCACATTTGTATGGGGTTTTAGACCTAAACAGCTATATTGAAGACCTTTTAATTCATCCCACGGCTACGCCCTTTTAAAGATTTAAAACCCTTAGCCCCTGAGCTTATATGCTGCAAAGATGTGGGAGAGTAATGGTGGGAAAGCTTTTTCAGGCTCACCTTTGAATGCATGACGTCTTAATAACGTCATTTAGATCATGTCATTTCATGGTCCACGTGCCGATCAAGGCCAAGAAAAGTACAACTGTCGGGGCGCCCGTAAATGGCGTTAGTGAGCACGCTTTCCAGACATAACGGCCATTAATCGACTCTCAATCAATGTTGTGCAAGGTACGATAGCTTATCATACAATGACGCACTGAGGAGCACTTTTACCAAATAGAGAAACTGTTTTGTCTTGGGCAATCTTCTCCACTTAAAGCGTATCAACAGTTATTAGTGAATTTTTTCATCATAGCTGATTCAATGTCTTCAAATGTGGAGCATTTCCCATAATCGCAATAGTTGGCTCACCCATCTGCAATAAGTTTCGATTTATGATAACTGCAGCTGACTTATCACCTTACTTGACTCTGGACTCATGCATAGACCCTTCGCATGTTGCGGCAAATCTTCCCATTCAATTAACTGAAAGGACCCAACTTTGAAAGTATTGGGGCAAGCATCATATCTGATTCAATCAGCATACTTGTAACTATTTGCATGTTTTGCAGTGCAAAAGACTGCCCCAGACAACACAATTTCGCGTTTTCGTAAATATGCCTCTCAATGCATCGTCGTTTGGTTGCGTCATGGATCGTTTTTGTGGCGTCAGATTGGCTGTCAAACTGGCAGTGCAAAATTGCCACCATAGCGGACGGGCTGGCTCACTTGCAGTACTTCAAGTTCTTGAAAGGTGTCGTGCTAAGCGGTGCGTTGTTTGCAGAAACTAAAAACCGTTATGCGTTCATGTTTTGGCCCCTTCTCGTGATCCTGTTGCATATATGCCTGTGATTTGATATCCTTTACCTGCAGTCGCTTACTCAGCTATGGCGCTTTTCTTAGTCTTTTCGATTCCCGCACGCATTTCCGTCCTAGCTCAAGCCGCCGCCAAGTTCCTACACAATAGCACAAAATGTGATTCATGTTCGAAACTTGCATGTAACGCATCACTTTGGTCCAGAGCCAATTGAAACCCGCTGATGCCAGACATCGTGCTGACGTGCTCCAGGTACGAATGGCTTGATGATGAATTTCTAGTGGTCGCGAGTGCTACATGGCCAAGGTCGTCACAATATTCGTGAGACGTTCCTATGACGTCCTACAAGCTTGGGCGACGTCGGAATAGTCGGCACGAAATAGTCGGTACAAGTTCGCGAGCGTTAAGCTCAGGAACTAGAGGGTTTTAAATTCAATGAAGGATAAGGCTGCAAACTGCACTTAATGACTTTTAAAAGGCTGTTTTTGTTCAAAACCACATATAAATGTGCAGCACTTCCTTTGAAGGCAATTATCCACATTTAGAGATGACAGAGCAGACGTCAGATGTGATGAATTGTTTGGTTGCGTTATCGTACCCTGCACGACATGGATTGAGAGCCAATTAACGGACGTGCTATCTGGAAGTCGTGTTCACCAACGCCAGACATGATGGACTCGACAATTACATTTTGCTTGGCCTCGATCGCCGCGTGGCCAATGTAATGGCAGGATTCGACTGATGTTATTTTTGTCATTGATGCCTGAGCGACCTTGAAATAGTTACACGAGATAGTTACACATCTTCGCGGGCGTGTAGCTCAGAAACTAGAGAGGTTCAGATCTTAAAAAGAAGAGTAGGGCTGTGAACTGCAACGAATGATCTCCAAGATGGTTATTTCAGTTCGAAACCACATTGAAATGTGAAACACTCCCTTTAAGCCATATTGCCACACAAACGGCTTTTCAGACATTACTCTGCTACTCTGAAATCGTTTGGTGTCGTTGGATTAGAGCCGTTGACCACTGGCCATTCCGACGAGCTTCTTCGAGGTCCTCTGAACATGTCAGTCCACGTCCAGCCAAAAGCTTCGCAGCCTTCCGAACGTGTCATTCCACGCCCAGCCAGATTGTGCTGGCTGGGCGGAGCTTTCTGCTCATCCACTCGCCTGGCTCAGTCGCTCACTCTGAATTCCTGAACGCGATGGTCAATGCCGGTTT